CCCTGAGTTCAAGGCTAACACTCTACCACCTGAGCCACAGCGCCACTTCCAGCCATTTTGCATGCATGAGGCCCTGGGTTCAATTCCTCAGCACCAAATGAGCAGAAAAAAGCCTGAAGTGGCATTATGGCTCAAGTGGTAGCGCACTAGCCCTGAGCTGAAGAGCTGAGGAACAGCTCCTGGACCCAAAGTTCAGCCCCCATGTCCAAAAACAAAACAAAAAAAAGGTAGAAAAGTTATGGGCATACAACTTCTATATACATGACAAATATTATTACCTATTATTTCATATCATAATTTACAGCAATCTTTTGCTCAAGGCTAATACGCTACCACTTGAGGTACAAGAGCCATTTCCGGCTTTTTTTTTTCCAGGCATGGGGCCTGAACTCTGGGCCTGGGTACTGTCCCTCAGCTCTTCAGCTCAAAACTAGTGCTCTACCACTTGAGCCACAGCACCACTTCCAGCTTTTTCTGCTTATGTGGTGCTGAGGAATTGAACCCAGGGCTTCATGCATGCAAGGCAAGTACTCTACCACTGAGCCACCTTCCCAGCCCATTTCTGGCTTTTTGAATAGTTTATTGGCGATGAGAGTCTCATGGACTCTTCTGCACAGGCTGGCTTCACACAGCAATCCTCAGATCTGCTTCTTGAATAGCTAGGATTACAGGCATAAGCCACCGGCACCTAGCTAAGGAAATCTTTTATATTGGGTATAGGGTGAATTGGAAGATATGACTCTTCACATTTATGCAATTTTACTAAGACCTCCAATTTTGATACATGTTTATAATCCTAGCTACTCAGGAGGCTGAGATCTGAGGATCTTGGTTCCCAGTCAGTTCAGGCAGACAAATCCAAGAAAGTCTCATCTCCAATTAACCAGCAAAGCTGGCCACAGGGTTGTGGCTCAAGTGGTAAAGTAATAGCCTTAAGTGAAAAAGCTAAGCAAGGAAGCACTTAAGCCCCAGTACCCATCCCCTAAACAAAATGATAACATTTTTTTTTTTTTTTTTGCCAGTCCTAAGGCTTGGACTTGGGGCCTGGGCACTGTCCCTGAGCTTCTTTTGCTCAAGGCTAGCACACTACCACTGGAGCCACAGAGCCAATTCTGGCATCCTCTTTTTATGTGGAACTGAGGAATAGAACCTAGGGCTTCATGCATGCTAGGCAAGCACTCTACCCACATTCCCAGTCCCAATGATAGCATCTTGAGCCCAGTTTAATTCCACATCCAAGGCAAATTTTAACGATACCAATTTATTAGTAAACAAATTTTTAGACCAGACATCTCAATTGGGGGTGCTTTTGGTTACCAGTGAACATTGGCAATATGTAGAGATGATTTTTCATTGTGACAAATATTGGTGGGCTAGGTACTCCTGACATTTAGTGGGTAGAGACCTGGGATGTTACTAAACAAACCCATAACACATTGCTCCCTCACCAAGTTATATGACCGAAAATGTCCCATAGTGCTAAGGCTGAGAAAACTTAGTTGTTGTTTTTAAAAAACAGCCAAGAAAATGAAGACCAAAGTATGACTACAATGCAACAGAATACTTTAACCTGTGCTGTTGTAGATGCCTTCTCTTTCTACTCTAAATGGATCACTTGTCACCCTGGACACAAGTACTGAGCTTTCTTTTCCTTCCCGTTTTGGATTCAGATGACAGAAACACTATGTTCATGGTGCATAAGGAGACAGGAAACAAGACTAGAGAGCAAGGAAGCCAGAAAGTGCTCCTAAAACAGCACAGCTTTTGCTTTTCAACCAAAGGAAATTCGAGTTTACTAGCTATTACCTACCATCAAGGGGCAGGCTGGAAAGCAGCTCCCATTACTCCTCACTACTAAAGACGTGCTCTGCAGTAACTCACACCAATATTATTATCCTCTAGGATAGTGAATTTTATTCTTAATAGGCCTCCTAACCACTCCATGAGACTGAGTTTGATTTTAGATTTTAAAAGGAAGAAAACTGACAAAAGAACAAGTCTAAAAAAGTTAAATCCCACTCAGCCAAAGCCTCAATGTTGTTTATTACACTTTATTTCCTAACGCACTTTATTTCTGTTCCCAGATGAACTCTACAATCATATGGTGAAGCATGTAAAGCAGATGTTTTCAAGCTCCATTCTAGTCCCATGGAGAGATTGCAGGCCCACGATTCTCCTCTACCAGGCTGCTGACTTGGTTGCAGATTCACTCATTGGTGCCTATATAATTGCTTAAGCAGCTTGACATACTTTTGCTTATTTGGCTTACAACTTTTGTCCTACAAAAGAGCTTATCAAAAAGGAAGAACTCAATCTGGGCAGTGGTGGCTCAGGCCTATAAACGTAGCTACTCAGAAGGCTGAGATATGAAGATCACAGTTCAAAGCCAGTCCAGAAAGGAAAGTCTTTAAGACTCTTATCCCCAATTAATCATCAAAAAGTCAGGAAGTGGAGCTGTGGCTCAACTGGTAGAGTGCTAGCCTTAAGCACAGAAGTTCAGGGTCAGTGCCCAGGCCCTGAGTTCAAGCCCCAGGTACCAAAAGAAAACAGGAAGAAATCAAATTAGTGAAGATAGGAAAAAGGCTGGAAAAGGCTAAACACACAAATGAATTTAGACAAATTAATTTCAATACAAAAATCCCTCTAGACTTTCACTTTCACAAACTAGTTCATAACAAAATGTTTCCTTTCCTGATCCCAAGAGTTGCAGTTTAGAATTATAACACTTCTACAAGGAAAGATGTATACTCTTTATATCAAGAAATGCTCCTCAAGATCAACAGGAGAAATAATTCAACTACAATTTTTAAGGATTTCACCAGCATAAGAGACCTAGTTGAGTCTTCATAAAATATGGAAACCTCAACTTTCTCAGTTTTTTTTTTTTTGTCGGTTATAGGGCTAAAACTCTGGTCCTGAAGCTGTCCCTCAGCTTGTTAGCTCAAGGCTAGTGCTCTACCACTTGAGCCACCATGCCAATTCCTGTTTTCTGAGTGGTTTATTGGAGATAAGAGTCTCAAGAACTTTCCTGCCCCGCTGACTATGATCAGTGATCCTCAGATCTCAGCCTCCTGAGTAGCTAGAATTACAGGCATGAGCCATCAGCATCAGGCTAGCTTTCTTAGTTTTTATCTAATACTTATCATATACTTATTACATGAAAGGTATTGCTGAGTTCAGCAGGGTATACCAAGGGGAATGAAAATAGTCACAACTGCCAAACAAGGCAAAACACAGGGACAGGCACACAACACATATGGTTGGATAACTCCATTGCCGTGGCTTCAAAAGAAAAAGGTTAAGGCCAGGTGCCAGTGACTGAGGCTGAGATCTGAGGATCACAGTGAGAAACCAGCCCAGGCAGAAAAGTCTGTGACACTTAACTCCAATAAACCACAAAAAACCCTCAAAGTGGAGCTGTGGATAAAGTGGTAAAGCGCTAGACTTGGGACAAAAGTTTGGCAACAGTTCCCAGACTCTGGGTTCAAGCCCCAAGACCAGCACTTAAAAAAAAAAAAGTTGGGTGCTGGTGGTTCATGCCTGTAATCCTAGCTACTCAGGAGGCTGAGAACTGAGGATTAGAGTTCAAAGTCAGCTCAGGCGGGAAAGTCTATAAAACTCTTATCTCCAATTAACCACCAGAAAACTCGAAGTGGAACTGTGGCTTCAAATGATAGAGCACTTGACTTGAGCAGAAAAACTCAGGAACAACGCCCAGGCCCTGGGTTCAAGCCCCGTGACCGAGAGGGGAAAAAAAAAATCGGAAAAGATGACCTGACCTGAACCCTGAAAAATGAAAACGATGTAATACAATAAATTGCAAGGAGAGCACTTCTGGCAACAACAAACACAGACAGACAGACAGACCCGTGCGCACACGCATGCACACACACGCATGCACACACACACACACACACACACACACACACACACACACACACACACACACACACACACACACACACCCGGGAGACAGATGTTAAGTTTGGTTGTAGGAGTCTAGAGTATCGTGGGGTCAAGTTGAAAATGAAAAAGCCACATGTATTAAAAAAGAAAAAAGGCCGAAGCATCTACCATTGCTTTTAAAAGAAAACTGTAGCTCCCTCTAGTTGCACTACAAAGTAGACAGTATCAGGATGACCCTTTTGCAAAAGAGGTTACCTGCCCCCTGGGGGTATTTCTGGTAATCCGGTATTGTCAGTGGAGGGAAAGGGCTCTATCTCTTTCCTTTCCCTGGGGAGCAAAGACCAACTCTTCTGCCAAAAAAGCACAACTAGGGCAAAACGGCTAGTTACCACCGACCTCAGTTTACCGGAGTGAGGGCTTAACTAGAGGGGAGGGGAACCTTTCTCCGGAGGCGATTCTTTGAGGTCACTACTGCAGAGCTAAGAAAGCGCCTTGCTCTAGGTCACATGTGCCCACTCGCCCCCAATCCTAGTTGCCCCGATGCCACTGGCAGGCACTCAAGGTGGCTTTTTCGTGGTCCTATATAGGACTTTGGTCTGAGCCTTCCCATTCCTGGACGACAGTCCCCGAATGGGGGCACTGTCAACAGCTCCAGGCCTCGGCAAAGGTAGTAACAGTTCCTCCCGCAGATCTAGGTCTCCACCGGGCCACAGGGGGATGCCGCCCTGGTTTCACACTCAGAACCATGGGAGCACATCCTGGCCAGTGCAGATGGGTGGTAAGACCTGGCCAGTGCCCAGGCGCGCGCCCAGGAGCCAGGTCGAGGCCCCTCCGCGGACTACCGGTGGGCGGGCGGCGCAGGACTCCGCGCCAATGCCTTAGGCGAAGGCGGACGTCGCTGCAAAGCACGTGCCCGGGCTCGCTGGCTTCTCGGCGCGCAGGACAAAGTCCGCTCCGGCCGGCTCCGCAGCTTGGGCACCGGGCACCAGGCACCACGGGAACGAGACCGGCAGGGCCTGCGCGCGGTTCCAACCCGACTCCAGACGCCGACCCCACTCCGGGCTCTGCCTCCCCGCGACCCCTTGCGCACTCACCATTGTGGTTGACCCAGGTTGGCTTCAGGAGCTTCATTGTTCGGCCGCCGCCGGGCTGAAGCGAGAGCCGGGTCCCTCAGCGCGCCCGGGCCATGGAGCTGCTGCCGTCGCT